ACGCTTCATGAGATTTCACCAGGACCTGTAGCAGGTCTTCTCATTTCCCTCCTATAACCCTATAATGTATTTTCCGCAGGGCAATGGAGGGATCCTTTTAGCCTAAATTTGGTCACAGCTGTCCCATCTCTGTAATTCATTTCTGGCATCCCACTGCACACAGAACTCATGCCAGACTTCTTATCACAGTCTACTTCTGCCTGCATCTCACATCACTTTCCTCCTTGTTCACTGGATTCTGGCTACAATGTTCACCTTGCCTGGCCTGCTCTTTGGCACAGATTCCAAGATACTTTGGGAAGCTGAAAGGATTTGTCCATCACATGAAGAGGATAAGAAGAAAGTCTAGAATGGCTTACAAGTGTCTGGCTGTGGAATACTAATAAAAATATGTAAGGAAAAGGATAGATTTGGGAGAGAAAGTGATATGCATATGCAGGGGAAGAGGAAGATGGGAAGGAGGCTCATGACTACCAACCAAGGAGCTAAGGTAGACAAGGAAGCAACAGAGAGAAGGGCTTAGTAAGAATCAGCCTGAATGGCTTATCTCTTTGGTTCTTAGCTTCAAGATACATTCCTTTGGATAAGTCGGCCTTGACTTCCTCAGTTTAGATCAAGTACTCATCTTTGTTCCCCTGTATCATCTATGGCCTGTCCCCACGATGGTCTCTACCACATTGTACATAAAATGCTTAACTGGTCAGTAGCATGTGGGAGACAGAAGTATGTCCTGGTCACCTCTGCATCTCCAGAGTCTACAAAAGTGTCTGGCTGGTAGGGGCATTAAAACGATACATTTGTTGAGTTAACTGTACCTCTGATATCACTTAATGTCCTTTTTATGCATGTGTGCTGCCATCTGTTAGGAACCTTTTAGTAACCCTAGTGCACTTCTCTACATAGACATTCTCCAAAAGCGCCCTGATGGTGACAGCACAGACTTCAACAACATGCCACTGTCTACTTTCCACTGATTAGTTTCTGCCCACTGACTTCATGGTGATAAAAGAAACACAATTTTCACTTTCTGAGTTCTTTTTGTCACCAAGTATTATTGCTTTCTTCCCCCTATCCTTTGAAAGTAACACAGATTTCATTTTATTTATTTTTTTTTGTCTGGTAAGTATTGAGATATTTATATTTTAAAGCTAATATGAAAACAGATGAAAGTTTAGTAAACTCTACATTTCTCTAGAGTTTCAAACCCCTTCCCTATCATGTACCTTTACTTGCATGATTATACTGATCTTATAATTATTATCTCCATAGCAATGTTATGAGATGAACAGGTTAGGAAACATGATCTCATTTTATACACGAGGAAGCAGTAGTATGGAAAGATTAATTAAATGACTTGTCAAGCTCAGAGTCAGAGAACATTTTTCACTGTCCATGATTACCATGTGGAGACTATCGAAAGGCTAAGATGATTTTTAAACTTTAAAAAATTTGATAATTAACTTTTTTCCAGTTACCAAGTTAAAACTGGATGATATTGAATCTGGCTTTTAATATGGCAAAGCTCTCCGACACTTACCTTCATTATGAGACAGCGAGTTTGCAGATTCAACTTGTAACATGGGTTTGCTCACCCTTCAATGTAAATTTATGATATGTAACAAAAGGAAGCTCTAAGTTCAACTCCCAGCACATAGCAATCATTTCTAGCCTTACCATTTTTACAAGAAATGACCAAACAAGCTTATCTTTTCCAAATTATAATAAAAATAAGATATAAAATGCCATTAAGGAAAAGCTAATTAAAGGAGTCTACACTACAATGTATACCCAAAAAGTAATTTAGAAATATTACACTATGAATTTATGTGTTTTTTTTTTTTTTTTTTTTTTTTTGTGTGTGTGTGTGTTCTAGGTAAGATAAGCATTGGGAATTTGCACAAAATAGCCTTAAAAATAAAAAGATTCTGTGAACATCAAAATCATCGCCATGATTCCCTTTATACAGGGTGGCATGTAGTCATACAAAGTGTAGTATGTTGAAAGTGAGAGAGACCATTATCAAGGATTCTTCTGCAACAACAGGTGTAAGCTTGGACTGTCCTGGGTAAGCCTACTCCACCTGCAGCCACTGTTCAATGAAATCATGTGGCAGAGCCTGTTCTCTCTGTACTCCCAGTTAACACCTTACACACACAGAACACTGATACCTGCTCTCCTCCTTTCACTGTTTCAGTGTAATCCCTCAATTTAGTTGAACTGTTAGAAAGGGGTCCTTGGGCTACAATATGTGCCAAAGAGCTTCCCCCTTCTCACTTACTTCAAGGCCATATAGTTTAAATGGTTCTCACTGGGAGCTGTTCTTTGGTATTCTGTCTCTGGCTTGCACTGAGGGATGCCTTGGAAACCTGTTATTTGCCTTCCTCTACAGAAGTTGTTGAGGACATTCTTCTAACATTATCACTAAAGGTCTGCTCTCTCTCTCTTTCTTTTTTTAAATTTTTAATTTATTTCTTTCATACATGACAACAGTGGAATGCATTACATTCATAATTATCCATTCACAGCCCAATTTTTCATACTTACTAAGAACTAAGAAGTTTGGTTTGCCTAGAGACAGTTACAGGCAATCGGCAGGAATTCAGGGAAATTCTGGTTCTGCCACTTATCACCTGGAGCTCAGAACTCAGTACTCAATTCTCATCTGATTTAACAGTATATACTTGAAGGTGCTATTGTGAGAAATCTAGATGTTATTTGTAACTGTGATTTCAGAAAACACAGAATGAAATTTATAGTCCCATCTTATTGATTATATAAATTTGGTTAAGTTTTTCTTATTACCTTGCCATTTATCTCATATCTACTTTCTATAACCCTGATTTTAATTATTCCAAATATTCTTATGATGTCTCTGATCTTTCTGGAATAAAACAATTTACAAAAGAAAAATAACCCACTTTCTTTCACATGGGTTCCATAAAGTGTTCAATGCCAATCCCTCCCTGCCATGTTTTTCTGGACAAGACTAAAGCATGAGGATGGCAGCCATGCACATGCATAACTGCAGTTATAGAGTCACATAGCAAAGGGTTCCCTTGGAGGATTTCCCCAGATTCTCAAAAAAAAAAAAAAAATCACAGAACTAGTTTAAGCATATGTGTCCTGTCTTGGGTATGACTAAATAACTTTTGATCTTTAGCAGTGAATTTTGTTCACCTAAATAAAAATTCTTCAAAACATGAACCAATCTGTTGAAAGGTTAATACATATTTTTTTCCATAAATGCTTATGGTATGTCTCTGGAATAGATAGGAAACTGTCTATGCACAAAGGCTGAAACAGCTGTCAGCAGTAGAAGCAGTTCAAGGATTTTCCCCCACAGATTTGCTGCTGCCCTCAATAATGACAGGGATCCACACCTTACATGCCAAATTGTAAATTAAGTCTATGAATCTGTATAGATTTATCAAGACATATTATCTCAAATCAAATAAGGTAATAAGTACTAAGAAGAAAATTTCAAAAATAAACTAAGCTTTGTAACTTAAAATGGTCAATAGTGATGAGCAGGAGACCCACCAAAGTTAATGGATAGTCTATTATCACTATATCCTCATGGCCACCCACTTATATATCTGCTTAGTAGATTAATTAATTATACTCTGGCCTCACTCCTTTAAAAGAAGGGCACCATTAATTATAGCCCCTAAGGTCTTTGATCTACTGATAGACTCTGTGTCCATCACACAGGAGAAAGTAAGATGGGCTACTAGTTCATAGGATGGGCCTTTTTCTGATGACCATTCTATGCCTACAGACTATTTGCTAGGCCTCTTCCTATACTTCTCCTGGTTCTAAAGGAGGGCACAATTTCACTGAGGAAAAATGAGTAGACAGAAATTCCAAATCATTAAGAACTGTGATTTGCCCACAGGCAAGAGCAGCTTTTAGCTCTTGGTATGGGTTATAAAGATTGCACTCTCCCCTCTAAAACAACTTTCCCGAAATAAAAGCACTTCTGATGATTTCTAAATCTATAAATAACACACAGCTGTGTTTATAACTCAACAAAAGGAAGTAAAATATCAGTAGACCTAAGGGTTTTGTGCTTATATATTTTTCACTGGGCATTTTTGTCCTTTTTAATAAAATGATATTGTAAATTCATTAAGAATTGACTAAGAACCAGCTAATATTTAAAATCATTTTACACAGACTTTATCTATATGTGTTTCCTTCATTGTTTTATTTAACATGTGGTTATTTGATCCACAAGTATTATCCTAATAAATTTTTAAGTTCCAAGAGGGTATTGCCTAGACATATGAAGAGAGGATTCACTTATTTATAAGTCAGTATAAACTACTTGGCCCTTTTTATTCTTCTAGGACTCACATACACACCTCTCTCTCTCCTCTCTCTCTCTCTCTCTCACACAGACACACACACACACACACACACACACACACATAATTAGATTCAAAAAATATTTTAAAATGTTGGTTTAGAGGTCTCCAGGAAGTAAAACGTTTAATTATTAACCATTAGTGATATTAAAATATTTATATACCTTTTAGTTCTACTTAATTGAATTTGGTGGAAAGGAGAGTAATGGAGGCAGTACTTTACTTGGCATATAATAACATTATCAGTTTATCTAGAAGAAAAAGGTTTTAGACACATTCTTCTTTGGAGATCCTATATGGTATATGGATCTGTCTGAAAATCACTTGTGTAATGCAGTGTTTTTTTATCTTCAGCTATACAAGTAAGACAAAGACCATGTCTCAAAACTGAAAAACAAAAACCTACAGTGTAAGTTATTCTCACAAAACCCCCTTCATATCAGATTTATCTTCAGTGCTTTCTGTACCTTATGGGTAGAAGTGAAAAGTACTACATATCCATACCAATTTGTCCCTTTGCAAGTGTGTTATCTTCACTTCAAGCTCAAAGGCAAAAGTCTGGGAAATGCTTCACAATGAAAAAAGCAAAGGAATATTCTACAATGGGAAAGAGAATTATGTTCATGATTTTACCTGATCTGTCCACGAACCAGAGGTCTGTTTTTTGTTCTATTCATGTTTGAGTCAAAGGGCACCTCAAAAAACTGTAAAAAGAATGAAAAAAGAAAAGATTAAATATAATATAAAACAATCCTTCAGTTCTACTTTAGAACTGAAAAAAGTTTTACAGTAATCTTCATTTTGATAGCATGAATTAATATCTTGGCACTCCTTGAAGAAAAATTCCCAGGAAGAGACACATTTTAGAAACCAATGTGCATCAATGACGAGGAATATTATTTAAAAATTGCTAGATTCTTCAAAGCTTTCAGGTTTAAAGCATTAGTTTTTAAATGATTTCAGAATGCTTCAAACATTTCAAAGGCTGTGAATAAACCAGGATCCACTAGGTTATTTTCGTCAAGAGCCAATTAAGAAATTAAGGTTCCCAATGAAACTATATACAACTGTTGAGGTGAGACTGTGATAAGGTAACCATCCTTAAAGCAATTAAGGTTCCCAATGAAACTACACACAAGGTGAGATTGTGATTAAGGTAATCATCCTCTCTGCCTGGGATAATTCTAGTTTATGTTATAATGCCAGCATCATTATTAGAACTATCTTTCCCAGCTTGGACAACAGATTGGCCTGAGCAGTCTAACAATTACAGGTAACAGTTTTTGTTGTGTATCTATTGAAACAAAAATTCCAGGGAATTATCAAAACTTATTTTCCAAAGCCCTAAAAAAACTACACAATATAACCTTAAGTTTGTTATCTATGTCTTCTACTTTTTACTTCTTTTGGTATAACAGAATGCTCAAAAATCTAACCAGGTTATTTGAGAATATCTTCAAAAAAAGGGTCTTGAGGCAAATCAATAGAAGAAATAAAAATTCAATGGAAGGTTTAAGTCAATATTTCCCCAACTATGTTCCCTAACAGTCCCTAGAGTTGTTCCCAGAAAAAAATGACTTGTTGGTCAAATCATAGTATGTTAAGGGCTCTGAGAAATCCCAGAGTGAAGAAATCTAATTAACATTGATTAGCCAGTGTTTTCCAAACTTATTTGACTATGAAATCTTTTTTCAAGAAAAACATGTTTGACAGATATCAGAAATGTTTGTTCTGAGTATATTCAAGTGATAGGAATCATACTTACTCAACGTCTATCAAATCATAGCTCTTTTTATAGTGCACTGTACTCAGTATGAATTCTGTAAGTATCAGAAAAAAATACTACTGCTATAAAGTCAGTCTAGAAATAAGTAAAATTTTATTTCATTTATTATTAACTACTAACAGGTAAATGTAAAAATGAAATAAAATTTTATTCTGAATTACTTACGAAATTTAGGATTTATCTTCATAGATTAAGATAACTTGTCATTTGTGTTCCCTCTAATTTTCTTAAAAAATTGACATTTCTTTCCCCCTTATGCTATGGTATACATATATCTTTATTTTCAATTTCTTTTACAACGACATCTTCCAACATAATTACTTTTGACTTCTTTCATTTCTTTCAGGTTACTATACTTATTTTACTCACGAAACTCTGTATAGTTATCCATGGTGAAGATTCCCTGTTACTTAATTTCTAGTAGCCCTAGTCCTTGACACTTTATGACTACCTAGTCACAGCTCACTTAGCCAATGGTCAGGTATCTGGGATTCTGAGACCTTTATCATAAAACCACCGCATACCAATAATAACTACCACTATTCCACCAACAACCTTAAGATAGCAGTTATTATATATAATTATAAGAATAATGGATACTCTTTTTTTAAAATATTTTTTTTTAGCTGTAGATGGACACAATACCTTTATTTTTATTTATTTATTTTTATGTGGTGCTGAGGATCGAACCCAGTGCTTCACGCATATAAGGCAAGCGCTCCACTACTGAGCTACAACCCCAGCCCAAGACTAACAAATACTCTTTTCCTGGTGTCTAACCTTTATGATGGATGGGTCATGCATGTTAAGCATTGTACATGCACTGTAAAAAAAAGTGCAAGCTGGGCCTGTTTTCAGAGCTTTCTGGGTATCACTGCAACACAACAGTGTAGCTGTAGCCAGAACAAGAAATTAAATGTTAAGTGAATAAGCGAGACACAGAAAGACTAATACAATGTGTTCTCTCTCATGTGTGGAAGCTAAGAGAGTTAACCTGAATTTGGAATAGGTATTACAAGAGGCTGAAATAGGCAGGGGGTGAGGGTGGTTAAAGGGTGGTTGGACAATGGGTACAAAAACAGATAGAAATACTAAATTCTGTTTTTCTACAGCACAGTGGGATGAGTGCAATTCACAAAAACTGATTGATTTTTTTTTTTTTTAATGAAGATCTGGAAGAGAGAAGATAGAAGGCTCCTAACATAAAGAAATGATACAGAGAAAGAAATACTAATTACCCTAATTTGATCAGTGCATGCCATAGGCTACACTGAACCCTATTAGTAGGTACCATTAATATACATTAATAAAAATTAAATTGAAAAAAGAAACCAAATGCTGGGGTTTCTGCATGGTCTTACCTGTTCTACCACAGCCACAGATGCAGAAGACCACAGAAAGAGATGACAGCGCTCATTATCTTGGTAGTTTCCTTGAACTGGCTTCTGCTGCGAGCAACTGTGGTAGTTGCTGTTTTTAATCAAGCACTGAGTATTACATGTGATGGATGTATCATAAACCAATGTCATACGGATGAAAATTTAGGGTTTTTAAACAATTATTCCAACAGGATATATACCTAAAATGTTCCCCTCCTTTTCAAATCATAGTCCTCCCTTGACTGGTTACACTACTTAGTAGGGATTCTCCTGAGACTACATTCCCTCAGTGCTCTTCTTTAGGCTTATCATTCAGTCAATGTACTTTCCTCAGCACCAACTACATGCCATATAACAGGAATATAAAGACCAACTAGAGCCAGTGCTTCTTTCAAAAAATTCATAGACTATTATGGGGGTCTGCAAACTACAGCTCATGGGCCAGATCCATACCACACCTGTTTTTGTAAGTCCCACAGCCAATAACAGTTTTTACATTTTTTCCAAACGATTTTTGGAAAAACAAAAGAATTTCTGCCATAGAAAATTACATGAAAAGTCAAATTTCAGGGTCCCCAAAGAGGGTTTTATTGTAATTCAGCTACCCTGATTTGTCTTTGAATCAGTACAGCTGTTGCTTTTACATCATAACAGCAGAGTTGGGTAGTTGCAGGAGACTGTATGGCCCACAAAGCCTAAAACATTTACTGTCTCTTTACAAAAAAAGTTTGCAAAGCCTTAGCCTAATAGAAATAATGAGATACTAGAACCTGGTTAATTATAATAATGAATATGAAACAATGAGAGATATGTGCAAAGGATTATGGGAGCCTAGAGGATGAGCTTTGAGGCTAGCTGGGGAGGCAGGAATGGAAAGGGGAAATTTCCTTCAAATGCTCTTAAACTGACGCTTCACGATAATAAGGTAAGAAGTAAGTGCATTCTAGACACAAGGGGAAGCACCAACAAAGGTGCAGGAGGCAGAAATCTGCTGATGAGCTGAGAGGTTAGGACAGTGGAGAGGTTAAGACCCTAGGCTTCTGTAATCACAGAGATCAGGGTTAATTTTCAGCTTTGCCACTTACTATCATCTGTGTATTAATTCAGTTTCCTTATCTGTAAAATAATAATGCATAACTTGCAAGGTTGATGTAATGATTAAGATAATGTATATAGAGCATAATGCCTGGCAAATAGGAGGTGCTTGATAATGAGTAAGTTAACTGCCACTCCTATCAGTGTTGCTGGATGGCTAGTGATGAAGCTCTGGAGATGGGCAAGGAACCAGATCAGGGAGAGCCTTACACCATGCTAACGTACCAAGACTACTGAGTAGGAGGACCCTTGTGACTGCCACTTGGAGGATGGTTTAGACAGGAAAGACTATCAGGATGAGGACCTGAACAATGGTGTGACAGTGGAGAGGAACAGGAACCAGGATTTTCCTTTGTCCCTAAAACAACAAACACTGCCTAATGTGTACATCCCAAGCCCTGGTATCCAATCTACCTTTAAATAAAACCACTATGTGTGTAAACTTGACTTGCTCTTTTTAAAATTGCACTTAATTAATTTATGGTTTATTGGTGCATTATAATTATATATAATAGTAAGATTTATTATGCCACACTCATATATACACATAATTTGAACAATCTCTTCCCCCAGTACTTTTTCTTTCACTCCCCTCCTCCTTCCCCCAATCTACCTGCTTGATTCTACTCATTTCTCATTTATTATTATTGTTACTATAATTATTACTTAATTAGTACATTATAATAATATAAAAGCAGGATTCATTGTAGTATATTCTTTCATGACATAAGATAATTTAGTAAATTTTCTTAGTACTTTCCCATGTCTTCCTTTCCTTCCTTTTTCTAAATCTCCTTCATTTCTATTTTCATGGACATTCCTTTTTTTTTAAATCTTTCCTCACCCGGCTAGCTTTCACATGTGAAAGAAAACATCTGACCCATGACTTTCTGTCACTTAGTCTGACGTTTTCCATTTATCAGCAGATAACATAATTTTATTCTTCTTCATGGATGAGTAAAACTCCACTGTGTGTATATACCACATTTTCTTTACCCATTTGTCTGCTGATGGACATTTAGGCTGGTTTCCTAACTTGGCTATTGTGAATTATGCTGCTTTGAACGTTGATACATATGTATTGCTACACTTTGATTGGTACAGTTAATAAGCTTCATTAAGAAATTTGCTTTCTGGATTGTGAGAATGATGTATTGTGCTGCTGAATTACTACTTGGGTATTGTTTTGAATTTTAGGCTCTGATTTTGTGGAAGTATATTGGTGAACTAAAGTATGTCTAAAAAAAGATGACCATAGAGGTGGTATGAAAGACAGATCAAGAAGGAAACATGGCTGAATTATACACAGGTGATTCATAAATCCATCAGTGCTTACCTAAATGACACAGGTTGTAGCTTGACAAAGTAACTATATAAGGCCTGGTCTGCTTCTTTAAGTATTTTGGATGAAAAAAGAAAATGCATGCTTATTCAACCTGTTAGA